TCTTTCAAATTGAAATTTTCTTTTTCAATACTTTTCAAATTTCATTTTTTAGAGTTCTAAATCCTTCTTCAAGATTTCATTTTGATTTTCAAAATCCATTTTCATTTCTAGAAGAAGTTTGTTTAATTTGAAAATTTCTTTTTCAAAGTTTTCATATTTTATTTTTGAAAGCTCTAACTCCTTTCTCAACATTTCATTTTGATTTTCCAAGTCTGTTTTAGCTTTCAAAAGAAGATCATTTTTAGCAATAAATTTAGAAATCAATCTATTGTATTTGGAGTTTATGGTCTCAAACTCCGAAAATAATTTATCATAAGTATCTTGTAACTCATTAAAAGATTTTGAATTTGATATATTTGAGTTAGAAGATACCTTTGGCTCTGTGAGAGCTAATAGAGACATCACTTTTATTGGTTCTTCTTCTTCCTTGTCTTTATAGATCTCCTCAAGCTTATCCCACATTTCCTTGGCACTTGAACAAGAAGAAACTCCTTTATATACATTAGGATCAATTGCACATCACAACATGTGCATAGCCTTTGAGTTTTGTTGAGCTTCCTTCCGTTCTTGAACACTCAACTTCTTTGCCTTCTTAGTAGGAGAGGAATATCCTTTCTTGATTATCATCCAAGATTACATATCAAATGCTTTGATGAATATCATCATACACCTCTTCCAATGACGATAATTTGTTTCATTGAAGTGTGGAGGCACGTCAATAGGTCTGGATTCTTCCATGGAGAATGAACCGGAAGTAGACGCCATCTTTATCGATTTAACTCTTCCCGGATCGACTCAAGAGGTGATTAAACCTTCAAATGAGTGAGGCTCTGATGCCAATTGTTGAGTTAATCGATTGACTGAATCGGCCAAGAGGGGGTGAATTGGCAATAAAAATTTTGGTGGAAGCTTTTGCAGAAAATTGAAAGAAATTGCACAGCTATTTAGAGTGGTTCGACTTTATCAACCAAAGTCTACGTCCACTACCTTAGCTATCCACACTAAGGATTTTCCAACAAATTCACTAATTTGTTCTTTTTTTTTTAGGCCAAAGAGATAACCTTACAACTCCCTCAAGAATATACCCCAATTCTTGAGAACACTCTTTTCTCAAAGAGAAATACAAATTTGCAAACTTACAAGAAAAACCTCACAAGGAAATATGCTTGCACAATTCTAGAACAAAGAAAGAACACTCAAGAATAAATACAATTGAGCACAATAAGTGTTCTTGAAAGCAAAATGAATATTGAATGAAAAATAGACTTGAAATGCTCAAACTTGAGGTTTGATGCTTTCTCTTTGATTCTCTCTTGATTCTAATTGCTTGATGTTTCTTCTTGTTGATCAATGGCTTCTAAGCTTGCTTAAATACACCTTGAATCACTTCTGAATGTTGGGGATAATTAGAGAAAATAATATAGCCGTTTTAGTGTGAAAACAATTAATAAAACAGTTTGGAGCGTGGGGGAATCGGTACCCCCTATGGGGAATCGATTCCCTAAGTGTAAAATTCAAATATTTCGACCGTTATACAAGGGGGGGATCGGTACCTTCTGGGGGGGAATCGGTTCCCTCCGAGCATACTGGAATTCTCGGAGCCAAACCATTCAGGGGGGAATCGGTACCCCCTTAGGGGGGAATCGGTTCCCTCTGAGCAATCTGGAATTTTTGGCTTTGAAATGGTTCGAAATACTTTGTAAAATTATTTTGAAATTGTTTTAAGATTAAAACTTAATTTTACACTTTGAGTAAGGATTAAAAATGATCTTTGAAAGATTTGGAGTAATGTTTTGATATTCGAATAATTCTATCGAATATACTTAGAAAATCATTTAAAAAATCTTAAAATTCATTTATCTTAATTTGTTATATCGAAATATCAAAATGTTTTCAACATTAACCCTAAAATATAATATAGTATTCTTATTTTAATAATATAATTTATAATATTTTCATTTCAATAGAACATATTCATTTTAATATTTTCATTTATAAAATTATAAAAATAATATTAACATAAATAACATTGAATAAATTATTTTACTATTTTAAAAACAATAATACTTAAATTTTTAAATAAATAACATTATTAATTATAATTTATATTTGTAATAAATAATTTCTAGAAAATTTATTAAATAGTAAAAAATGATTTAGACAACATCTTTTAAACATCGTAAAACGTCTTTCAAAAAAAATTTCTCACAAGATTTAAGTTGTTTTACGAAAAACCTTTTTCGAAAAATATTTTCAATGAAACAAACAAACCTTAACTAATAATAGAGTGACCAAATAAATAATTTACCCATAATTATATAACATGTCAAACACAAGAAAATAACAAATACACTTAAGTTACGAGTTTGAATCTTGACGTTTCCTAATATAACAAATTAGATTGGGATAGTTGCTTCATAATAGACCTCTACAAAACTCAATATAAAATAATTGATCAATTGATCCGATATCAGTAAATAAATAAATAAAAAAACAAGAAGAACAAAAAACAACAAATGAAGGCAAATACATGAACCCATTCCTAAAACTAAAGTAAAAGATGAATTAAGTAAATTCGTTCTTTCTTTTCTATCGTTCACTTTGGTTCACCATAGTTTCCATGAAAAAAATGCAAAACCTTGTGGCAACCAACAAAGAAGTAAAAAAGTAATGGTGGTGGTCTTCATCTATTTTAGTTATAAGATCTTCCTAACAACACAAGAGATGCCACGGCGGTGAAAAGCGTCTGCCCGGCTGGTTTTAGTCGGATAGCAGCGGCCGACGGTGGAGACGGGTTGTAAGGCACAGCACCGAATACATTTGAACCGTTTGAATTGGTGGTGTTTAAGACGGAAGAGGTTATGCTGCACTGCCAATTTAATGTTAATTTCATATAAAATAAAAAGTCTTGTTAAATGTAAATGCAAATGGAAATAAAGGTTACCTTGTGGATTGATACTGACAAGTCTCACTACCTGAAATATTATTAATTTGTCAAATCTTTCCTAATCTGTACAATAATTATATCTATTTGTCACAAATCACATATCTGTCGATTCCATTTAAGTGTTCAATTTTATTTTCATTCCCTTGAATGGTATACTTGGATGTGAATTTTAAAATTTTAAAACATATTTTCTTAAAATATTAGTATTTATGTTTTTTTTATTCGAACAAATATTTTAATTAAAAAATTATATTTATTTTTTTAATATTATAATATATAAAATATATCAACTTAGATTATGATATAAATATAAAAATATTTTTTTAAAATTTTTACACTTAAGTTGAAAATGAAAAGTATACTCAAACATAATGCTTAATGTATTTATTCATATGAAAGACAAGCTGACTTTGATTTAAAAAAAAATGGAATGAAAGTTAAATAAATGACAAATATAATTTGACATAAGCAGCTCTAATTTCTTTAGTTGTAAAGCTTATCCAAAATCAAACAACCATTCAATCCAAATCAAAGATGATCACATACGCACCCATTTTTAGACAATGCATTAGAATTTTATATTTAGTGAACCAAGACCATGTTTTTATTCGTAAAGTTATAATAAGATGACGCCCGTGGTAAAAATATTAAACTTTATAAAATATTTTTCTTTTAAGATAATTCTTGCATTTCAAATAAATTTGGTGTAATTTTTAATTTCATCTTTCTACTTCGCAAGTATTGAGAAATTAATTTCTTTATGTTAATTCTTCAAATTTCGGTCCTCATAATTTGAAAATTGAGATATTGGCCTTTTTTTTACTTTAATTTGATCTTCCTATTTTACAAAAACAAAAAAATTAATCAAATTGAGTAGCACAGTTAAAACACTAACCAAAAACCAACATTGCAACAATTTACATATATTAAATTAGCAAAAATCATCAATTCACCAAATGAACAAAAACAACGGTTCAAGTTCACGTGTTTATAAAAACTAGACCAACTTTTCAAATTTAGAAAAAAACGAGGACTAAAATTTTAAAAAATTAAACTAAAAGAATTAATTTCTTAGTTTTCATAAAATAGATGGATAAAAATCATAACTAAACCAAAAAAACCCCGATGTTGAATAAATTTCATTTATTTAATTAGAAAAATCCAAAATTTGTTAGTACCGAAATAATATCAATAAGCTATTTGATATATACTAAATTTTAATACTTAAAAAAAACTGTTGTTTCATAATAATAATAATAATAATAATAATATTGAAATTAGAAAATTATTTATTTTATAAATTTCATAATTGAAGAAATTAATGTCAAAAAGTTATATTCTAAAACTATTTCAGTACAAAATACGTGTTGTTTATAGTAATCGATCTTAATTTTTTTATTTAATAATTTTAATACTATTAATATATTATTTTGGATAGTTTTAGACAAACGCCAAATATAATAATTTGAATATTTTTTTAATGAAAATAAATGTTTTTATTATTTCATAATAATATTTTAATCAATAAAATAAACTTAAAAAATTTAGCATTAGATGAAAAATATTGGAGACATCAATAGCAATTCATTTCTTTAGTTAGAGTCGCTGGACCGGGTTATGGCCCAATTTTATATTTTTATCCAAATTCATTTGGACGGGCTTGAATTAATCCAAACTATTTATTTTATATTATTTTAGGATAAACTACGTATAGTCACCCAACTAACTTTAATTTTATTTTGATCACTAAATTATTTTTTTAAATCATTACAATTTCAATTTGATCGTTCGACGTTTAAAAATTAATGAGAATATTGATATGTCACTATAAGCTAATGCCACATTATCATTGAAAATAATAAAAATACAATATCAACAATTCTACTAAATTTTTTAACAACATAACATTAGTTATAACTTTGGAGAAAAAATAGTTAGATAAATAAAACAAAACTTAATTAATAACTGGGTGACTAAATACATAGTTTACCTTATTTTAATAAAAATATATATATATTCAATTTTTTATATTTATATTTAAATTATTAAAGTTTTAAATATGAACCGGGTTTACGGGGGGAGCTAGATGTAATAAATGCAAAACATTGAATGGAGTATTAAACTTACTTGGATCAATGCTGGTGGTAACGGCAGCGCCTCCAAAGTTACAGCTACTAGGAACCGGGTTCTTCCCGAAGTAGCTATTAAACGCATATGAAGCATGCGCGTGTATCGTGTTCGGATTGTAACACCCTCCACCCGGCTGGATCGCCGCACAGTCTGCACCGCCGTACCCACACGCGTAGTCTAGACCTACTTGCAATGCACTTTGTGATGCACTTTGGCTGGCCACGCACCAGCTGCCACCGCCCCTCGTTGTTGTTGTCACCGGAACCGCCGTCATCGGTGACATTGTCATCGGAGATGTTGCGGAATCTGGGTTTGAAGTAGGGTTCAAGACCGGAGTTGATGAAATAGGAGTGGTGGTCGGAATCATGATTGGTATTGTAGCTATAGGAGTTGTAATGTCCTTTTTGTTGCTGTAAATATTAATCTTCCTTGTATCACTTGGACCTGTGTATCACATCAACAGAAATAGATTATAATCCAGATGTGATACATTGACATTAAGATCAACGTCCACCGAATTTGCATTAACCCTTTCTTGTCTAATCACATTTCACATCAAACTACAAACAAGGGTCTTAATTAAGAATAAGTATTTCATAATTGAGTCAAATAAAAAAATTGATTAATTAATTAAATTAATGAGTTCTATTTTTTAATTTGTATTTTATTTGAAATTTTTTGGATTCAAACTAAAATTATAAAATTTGAATCAATTGTTCAAGTTTATGTATAAAATTAATTATTAATATTTATAATGTTATGATATCAATTGATTTCAATTTAAATGATTTTATATAATTGTATACAACACACATATATATTTTTTCATAAGAGAGATATATAATGTAAAATTGAATATTTGAATCAAACTTTTAATTTAGGATAAATTATACTAATAATCATTGAACTTCACTCTATATCCTATTATAGCCAGTATACTTTAAATTCGTTTAATTTACTCACTAAATTTAATATATTTGATTTTTTTTGTCACTCTGTCGTTTTTTAATTAATGGTGTTAAAAATTAATTCTTATATAGATACAAAAAGATGTCATTTTAATAAAAAAAATATTTTTTAAAACAGTATCATTTTAACTTTGTTAACTATTTAATAGCAAAATCTCTGAAAAAACCAAATATATTAAATTTAATAAGAAAATTAAACCATTTTAAAGTATAATAAGGGAAATAAGAAATAAAATAAAGTTTAGTTATATTTATTATTTTCCCCTGAAAATTAATAAATTAATTACTAAAATTTTAAAATATTTGAATCATAATTTATAACTTAAATTTTATTTAAAATTTTTCGACCCAAGTTAATTTTTTAATCGAATAAAATTTTATTAGCCTATAATGCATCTAGCAGTATAAAGAAAATTGGAGAAACATAGCACAGATGTTGAGACAGGACACACTGTTGAAATGAAGACTAAGTAGATAACATAGTAAGAAAAAGAAACAAAGATCAGATTGTTGGGTATGCAATAATTAATGATGAAAAAGGTGGAATGTTGAAAGTGGAAGAACAATGATTCAGTAACTTTGAACCAACAAGCAATGTGTTGGGAGTGACTGCATTCACTGTACAACTGATACACAAAACAAGAATGCTGGATTTGAAAAAGGAGAGAAGCATTTTCCCACATGGGAAAAGCCATGAAAATTCCACACACCCGAACAACAACTGATCTGTTCAAATCATTCAAAGTAAAGGGAAAACCCATATCACCTGGAAAGAGAAAGAGGCAAAACATGAGAAAGATTTTAGAGAAGATTGCAGTTGAATCCATTACTGTAACATCCGCCTTCTTCTTCTTCAATTTGTTGGGAAAAAGGAAATGAAATGATAAACTAGAGAAACATCAAAGAATGATAGTTTGGGGCATGAATATCACTCACACTGCTGCTTCTGTGGGGAAGAAGCAAAGGAGGGAAAATGGTTGGGAAAAAAAAGGAAATAGAGGGAGAAGAGAGTCTTGTTTTGGAATTTAGGTTTGGGAAGTGGTGATGGTAATGATGACCTTTGATTTCTTTTCCTTCCACTTTTTTTATATTTTATGCATAGTTTTTCTATGGAAATGCTATAAACACGACATTTTAAAAAAAATCATTTATTATTTATTTAATATTGAACGATATATATATCCATATACATAATACTTTAATTAAATTTTAAAAAAGAAGAATAATTTTTTAATAACTAAAATATTTAATTCGTGTTATTTTATCCATATCTTTATTAATGGAATGGGCTGTTTTGTTTTTACGAATTTGTTAACAACTTAAAAATAAAACGAAAACAACATTTCATTAAAGATTTCAATCATAAATATAAATTTTACAATGAATGACATTATATTATATAATTTAATACATTTGTTTTTATGCGCAAAATATAATTTACAATGATTTGACTAATATTAATATTATATCAATCAAATAATTTCATTGTTTAAAATATTGATTGTTATTTTTTAATGTTTCAGATTTTAATATTAGTGACCGTAGAGTATTTTAATATTCATTATTAAAATATTAAGAGTTTTTAAAATAAATATTATTATTTTCACTTGTAATCTTTACAAGTTAATAAAATAATAATAATACAATTCATCCGGATCTTCTAATAATAAAAGAAAATATACTTTTTTTTAGATTATGAATTTAAATAATTATGACAGTAGAATGTATGTCAATTATTAATTAAATTTTTTTAAGCAAACACATACTATTAAAAAAAATAATATCACTGACCACGTCAATAATTCTCTTTATAATTTATTACCGCAGTTTTGGTGAAATTAGGTGGAAAAATGCTGATTTGTCAACATATGTTTTTATAAAATTTATTGTTTAAACCGAACATAATTTAAAATATTATAATATTTATAACATTTTCGATTATACTTTCCGTTTCCTAATCTGAACTCAAAATCTTATTGTTTTAGTCGTTTAGGGAAAGTCTTTGTGACAGTACTTGTGTCAGTGTGACTACCGGCTACATTCTCTCTCTTCTCTTTTTCTCCATTTGCTTTATTCTTTTCGGTGCAGCAAGTTACATATAAACACCAACGCTCAAATTGTACTACTAATTCAAAGCTTACCCACTTAAGAACCACTTTCATACAAATTAAATGGGATGATCCCAACATTATTTGTTAAATCATCAATTATTAAAAATTATAAATAAATAATCTTTTAAATCAATAAATTAATACCAACTCAAACAGTCACTAATATTTTAACAAACTTTAAATATATAATAATCAAATGATCATTTTATTATTTTATCATTTTATCATTTTAATAATGAATAGATTCATTAAAATAACAACTTATAATCAAAGAGAACCATTTATGTAAATAAATTTTACTTTCTTTGTTTAAGAAAACAATAATAATTAAACCCTCCGATCACAAGTCATCCGACTATTAACTCAAATGAGGAATTTAATTCAATCACTCAAACCAACCCAATGTCTGTCTAATTGGTGTCCTAAGGACCATAAATGTAAATAACTAAATCGATAACTAGTAAACTACGTGCACTATAAAGTTGAGGCGGAGGCAGATCCCATTGCTTGCAAATAACGCAAAACTAGAAAAAAAATGGAGGATAATAGTCACGCTGCCATGCTTGAGCTAATCTGCCTAGACAATGGCCCTTGCGAAGCATTTAAAATCATATTCCGGAAGTTTCGCTGCTGCTGTTCCGTTGCCATTGCGGCATGAGAACTGTAAACACCAGAGTATCCCAGAGCTCCGTGAAGCTGCTGCGAGTGTTGAAATCCTGCGAGCTGGTGATTCCGCCCATGTAAACTGTAATTGGCATTATCCGGAATAGTTGATATAGTTCTTGAACCATGTCCATAACCCCATGTAGCAGAGCCATCATTCTGGTAATACACAAATGATATATAAAGAGAAAGAAACAGTTTAAGGTCTATGCTCTAAGCAGTACGGTACTGTCATATCGTCAAATATGCTTATTGTTATTACCTGGTGAGGTAGGTTGAAATTAGCTCCACTATTGCCGTACTGAGAGCGTAAAAAGTCATCATACGCGAGTTTGCTGCCTGCCGAACCAGCCAATAGATTGTGAAGAGAACTTCTGGGAGAATTGGAAGGATTTTCTAACTTCGATAAACAGATGAGTATGAACTCGACCAAGGCAAGCTGCTGCTCATACTAGCACTTCCACAGTGTCGGAGATCGTACTTTCTATCTGTGTGAGATTCACAGAACACATTGCCATCTGGAACTGGAAATGCTTGTCGCAAAGCAGACGGTGTATATGTATGGCATTGAGGAGCAGTGGGATAGTCACTTTGAGCATAAGCATATGCATACAAATGCTCCTTGAGTGCAGGTCACATGGTGGGGTTGGCAATATGAATGACATGTGATGAAGGCTGAGATACAAAAAAAGGCTTCAAAATTCAAAAAGCTGAATCATCAGACCAGTATAAATAAATAAGTAATTTCTCAAATTCATTTAAGTAGGCAGAGGGCACTCAAATCCTTGTTTAATAGGAATGCAGAGGCCAGATTCACCATAGATTTTTCTCAAACTTGACACCAATTACATGAAAAGACGCAGAAAATTGTGCAAAGGACCAATACAGTTAATATGTGGTCTAAACCCTAAAGAGTGATCTAATTTATCTACAAACAAATTGTGAAAATTTCTGCTGGCCAATATGCATGATTTCCTAGCTATCCCAATCCCACATCTGAACTTAAACATTCAAATATTAAGGAGTAGAGCGTTAGATACTATCTTCTTTCTCACTAGTGAAGGTACATCTAATAAAAATACTTCAAAAATAAAAGAAAGCAAAGAGAACTTCAACCAGACAGCCTTTCTTATGCCTCTTGCCTCTCTACGGGTGTGCATTCAGTCAGTTCAGTCTCCAAATACCGTTAACCGAATAAACCATCCTAATCATCAAAACTGGATAAACCGAACTGAGTTCAATCCCAAAACTTAAATAACCAATCCCAATTTCTCCTTAACCGAACCAAAATAATCGAATAAACCAAAACGTACAATTTTTTTCTCTTTATTATTTTTATGTATAAAATAAAAATAACAATTATTAAATTAAACATATAGGTAACTAATTAAATAATTAGATTGAATTATTTCATATTTTAGTATTCAATTTCATATTACAATTAGTTAAATATATACATGTAATGTAATTAATCGGTTTATTCAGTTTGGATATCCAAAACTGATAACTGAACCATATTAATCATCTAAAACGAATAAGCTAACCAAATAAACTGAAAATTGAATAAACCGAATATTAGTTCAATCGGTTCAGTTTAACTGACTTTCTGCTCACCCTGGTTGCCTTGAAAAAAACACGTCCATGAACACCAAACATAGCTTCACAATACTGATTTAACCTATTTTGAGCCACCTAGGAGAACATATTCTAGATTTCATACCTGACGCCGGACAGAATAGCGATTATCCTGTAGACTAGTTCCAACAGATGATTTACAAGAGAAAATTCGCCTAAAAACCAGATAAAAAGTCTCTAGGGTTTAATAGAATAATATAAAATCGATTAATGCGAAAATCAGTCTACAAGCCGGACTGTTATAGCCAAAAATCGTCTTTATCCGAATTTTGCCAAAAATAGCAAAATCTTGAAAATCACTCTAAATTGAAATTCGAAATAAATTAAGCAATCTGCAAAAAATCCGGCCCAAATCGGATTTAAAATGACTTCCTAACTGACAAGCGAAATATCACCATAAATAGTAAAAAATAAATAAAACTAGTGATTCGGAGGGGAAAACGACAGAATTTGAGGTCGAAAAAAGGCCACATGGAGCCATGCTCGATGTGGACAGCGTGCGCGTTGAAAGGGGCTTTTCGAATTGGGGTGTTTTGCGCGATTCCGACACCCGTAGCCAAAGTTATGGCCAAAAGACTGAAATGCACTCAAAACGGCCCCAATGAGTAACATATCACACTCAACTCCCGCCTTTGCGCTGATCTGCCAACTCATGGTATCTCAGCGCCATTAATGTGCAATCTGACAGCTCAGCATCATCTTTCTCGGATCCCCTGCATCAATACCTGAGACATGGATACAGTTGGATTCTTGATCGATGATGCAGAACCAATGCATCTAGATGAAAAGGACGGTGATGTAAGATATGCAGCAGAGTCTCTTGCTTCTATAGACTGAATAGCCGGTGCCAATATATCGCTTGGCATAGAGTTGGAGTGTGATTGCTAACACCCAAAAGTAACAAGATCAATGCAAAGCTCCAAAAAACTGTAACAATTAAAAAAATTGCACATACAAGTATAAACTATATTTTCATAAATGAACACGAAGGGGAAAAGCAACTGTAAGAATGTACTGAGCATTTAAGAGAATATGGCATGCTGAGCATTGCCCAGGTAACCAACATTAATTAAGCAAGTGATGAAAAACAATTATTACGGTAGCATAAACATATAAATGCCTAGAAATATTCTAATGAAAGAGACAGAATAGCTGTGTGACAGCACACTAGAAAACAATTCCGTGTTCTTTTATTTCATAAATGACAACCTTTATCATAGCAGAAAACGAGACAGTTCTGTTTAGATATCATAAATTCAACAAGAAAAAGTATTTACCGGCATAGTAGGAAGATTCCTAGCATTTGGATCAATCACAAAAGAAGAGGAAGATTGTTCGACGTTCTTGAAACTTGAACCAAGAATAGATGCATGAGACACATAATCATTCCCAAGAGTTGCTGCATCAGGAATATCTAGTTTCCTAAGCTCTGACTGAAAACACATGTGAAATATAGTTCGTAGCATCTGTTGTTGCTCTATGATTATCAAAATCAAATTCAAGCTGCTCTTTATCATGATATACCAGGTTCCTGCAAAGAAAGACAGTCAAATATCATGAACACAAAGAAGTCAAAACCGGAACTCGTTAAGGATATGCGTACCTAGAGTTCAAATGCATAGAAGTTGAACAACCATTTGATGACATCAAGATCTCTTCCAATTTATTTGTCAAGGAACTAGATGTTTGTGGCTGGGGCAATGCTGTACTCTTGCCAGATTTGTAGGTACCAAAGCTCAAATGTGAGCAATTAACAGAAAGGGCTTGAAAATAATCCGGAAGCACCACTCCACAGTTATTCTCTTTAGGAGTCGCTGCTCCCTCTTCCTTCCCTAAGCTTAAATGTTGTAAGTTCACAGAAACTGATGATGCAGCTTTGGTGGCATCATTAGATAAAGGTGCAGAAGAATTTGGGGGTGATGCATTAGAACCTAATGAGGTAGATACCAGAGGGTCAAAAGCAAAGACACATCCGACAACAATATTTTGCTTCATTGCAAGCATAAATTGAAAACAACATAACCAACTATTCATAAAGGCACTTCTCATTCAACCATGCAATAACACACCTAAAGAAGTACAAACTTTCTACCATGGCAATATATACAACAGTTTTTGGACTCTCCATACATGTCAAAAAGAACATTAGAACATTAGGAGACTTTTTTCCCCTTCTCCCAACACTTTTTTGTACATTTAAAAATCAAGGAGTTGATGAAACAAGACTGCACCATGTTTCGTTTTGCTTCTACAAAGTACAAACAAGACTGTTAATTAACAACCTACCCCTCCCTTTTTCTGTATCTATCACAAGCTCCACATATGGTTTTACAGGCTAAGGTCTAGGGCAAATAGCATATAACTAGACTATCATTTTCTGGTCTGAACTAAAAAGGTTCTACTAAGCAGTGAGTTTTAAAATGTTCTAAAATGGAAAACAAAACTGATGGCAGACATAAAAACTGTTGCAATGCTAAGCAAAAGAAAATCTTTTGAGAAAATCTATAAGGCTATCTCCGTTCTTCATTCTAATGTTAAAATATACATTATAGATGGCTATAATAATCACAGTACAAAAATTGGGTCAGATGAATCAAAGATTACTATATAGCATCCATCTCTTGCACTTATTCTACAAAAATCTGTCATAGTTTAATTAAAAAACAAATAAAGAAAATTAAAAAGATCCTGTAAAATCAAACTCGGGACCTAAAAATTTACCTTCCAGACGTTGATAGATCTGCTCATAAGAATCAGGTGAACTTGTATCCTTACGCAGGTAATCATAATCAGGTGAACTTGTATCCTTCCGCAGGTCCTCATTATATTCAGACGTTTTTCCAGAATCACTTGTAAATATTTGTTTGTTAGATACTTGAGCAGAGCTGACATGATTAGGGCTAAGATTCTTTCTGCCAACATTGCTCTCTGATACTAGAATACTATCTGACCAGAAGTTACTTGACATGTTAGCTTTGTTAATGCGTACATCAGATTGATTTGAATACATTGTACCATCACCAGAACCTATCATTGACCCATTCACAGTCCATTCATTGTCAAAACCATGCTGATCGGATTTCTTTACAGATTCAGAAATCATGTTCAAATCCGAAGAATGCGAATCTTGGTCTGTTCCTAATTTTGAATCTGAAGTAGCAAGGAATTGCTTCATTTGGTAGATGGTTGAATGTGGTGGAACAGCATCTTGAGGGGAATAAGGTGTCTCACATGGCATTTGTGAGCCTTTGCTCTTTGGTCTACCCAGCCTTACAATATCAGCCATAGCAACATGTTCTGAGGTGCCCCCCAGCCTAGAAGACTTTGATACATAAGATGGTTGCATAGATGAATCAATCATATCACCTGTACCTATCGATTATGTTCTATAATCAGCATCAAAAGAATTGCTGCAGAAGAATATTATATGCTCAAAATGAAGAGTAATCATTTTATCATGTACCAAACTAAACAAAATTACACATAACACATCCATTCATCAAATGAAATAGCATATTAACGAAAAATAGATAATAAATAAATAACTAATAGGTATCACGCATCATAAAGATTAGTACCAAGAATGTATCAACAGAATATACCATACATGACGAAAAACATTTGAAAAAGTTGTGCGCATAAAAATATTGATAAGCCAGAGCAATTTATATTCATTTAAGACTCAAGAGCCAGACAAGTGCATATGATAAGCAACAATTTTGCATCATCATTACAGAACCAACCTTTGTGGGTAAAGTTGCACATTCAAAATTTGTCCTGTTGAATGTAATTTTGAAGAAGCAGAATATGGCATATAAGCAACTGAGTCATTCTCTTTCTTGTATGCAGCTTTACCAAGCTCTGCCATAAGGAATAGAGTGAGATGATAAGAACAAAGTTGACACTAGTGACTAGTGTCACCAATGCATACATTTTCCAAGAACCATACCATTGGAGCTGTTTAGTGTTGATCTGTTCCGCCCGAAAGAATGTTCACTGACATCTCGCACACCACAATGAGATGCATGGCCATTAGCTCGAGTTTTTGGTTCTTGTGTCTCTTTCATCTGATGACATATCAGGAGATAAAATCATTTTTCAAAGTGAGAAATATAAACACATGAACTTGGGTCAAACAAGCAAAGTGATGGTGAAGTTATATAAATGGAACTACAGTTTTAATTCAATTTCCGGAAACCAATAACACTATTATTGAAGGAACACGATTTTACTTATTGCATACACAAACAATTATATTTACTCACATGAAAATAACTGGAGTTACATAACTGAATCAAAACTAAAGTTTCATATATACATAGTAGCACCAAACCGAAGTTAACTTATCACATTACCAATTGAATCAATAGATATTTCGCAAAAGGATAAAGGGAAAATTCAATTTAATAAAGGAGAAAAAAACATTAAGTACATTTTAAAAAGAATAATACATCTTTTCTTCTTTCCCGTTTGCTTTTTACCTCATGAAAAGTATCTACAAAATCGAAAATTATTAATTTATTAAACATCTTTTAAATTTTGAAAACAGAACCAAACATTGTCAAAGCCTTGTTTGACATTGTTCTTCCATTAGACTAAAAAGAACGTCAAAGCACAGAATTTAAGGATTTCAATGACTTCTGTTACAAAATTCTCAGTTATTTGACTGCCAAGACTGAATCATGCAGAAAAATAGTTAAACCCCTAGCCGTTAAAGCGCAACAAGTGTAATGATATCGCTAGCTTCTATTGTTTTTTGGATGGGTATAATGGATATAACCAAATAGCTATATCCCCTAAAGATCAAAAGAAGACCACTTTCACTTGCCCATATGGTACTTTTTCTTTTAGACAAATGTCATTTGGATTATGCAATGCTCTAGAAACATTCCAACATTGTATGATGGCAATATTCTCCGACATGATTAAAGATTACTTGAAAGTTTTCATAGATGATTTCTTTTTCTTTCTTTCTTTTTCTTAAAGATTTTTATCAATGTCTAACCAATTTGGTTGTTTTATTTTAAAGATTTGAAGAAACCAATTTAGTTCTAAATTGAAAAAAAATATCATTTCATAATAACCGAAGAAATAATACTAGGGCATCAAATTTCTAATCGAGGTATTGAAGTAGAAAAAGCTAAGATAGAAGTTATTGAGAAGCTGTCATCTCTCACATTAGCTCAAATGAGAGACTCTAATCTGGTGCCACTACAATAGTGGCATTGACTAACTTTAAATTAATTATTTCAAAGGACTTCAGTACTTCATCATTAACAACAAATTTCCTATTTTGCTCTCACTAATGTACGATGCAAGTGACCACGTTATGGGTGCAGTGCTAGGGCAAAGGAAAGAAAATGTCTTCCATTATGTCCATTACACTAGCAGAACATTAAATGATGCTCAAGTCAACTATACCACAATCGAGAAGAAATTGCTGGCTGTTGTGTTTGTCTTTGATAAATTTCGATCTTACCTTGTTGGAACCAAGATTGTTGTCTACACTAATCATTCGGCTTTGAAGTATTAATTTTCCAAGAAAGACACTGAGCCAAGATTAATATGATGGGTATTGCTAATTCAAGATTCCATATTAAAATATGAGAAAGAAGTTTGCATTGAGGGGGAATATTAAAGGTCGATGCAAATTATAGAGTTATTTAGTGTGTGTATTAAGAATACTCTCGAATAATATAAAAACCATAGGTACGTAGAAGTATCCATAAAATCCATATATTTTTAATATTTGATGTTATATCTAGAATTATCTATTAGAAGAATCTAAATATTTGTAATGTTAAATGGATAAGATGTTGACATGTGTCAACAATCCAATAGCCACTAGTATCTATAAATAGGGGTGAGTTTTACCATTGTAGTAAGAGTGAAAAAGTGAGATAAGAGTGTCAAAAGCGTAAGTTAGAGAAAGAGAGCTTAGAAGTAGACAAGAGAAAAGTAGTGATGTAAGTGGGTAATATTGTAATTGTATTTCGTATCAATAAAATGTTCTATTCTTTAAGTTTCCTGATTAAGCCTTAGTTTTTTTTTTTAAATTCTTAGTGAACTTGTGTTAGTTTTATTATATGGTCGAATCTGTTGCTTGATTGATATATGATTGGTTATACCATCTGAATAATGTATTGTCGACCCTACCACCTAAGTATCAGTAAGAATTTATAAAATTAAAGGTTAACCAATGTCAAAGAGTTGGTATATATGAGTGGTATATCTTAGGTCTTCTATAATGTGTGTGTTGGGCTCGTCGAAGTTTCTAACAGTTACTTGTTTCCTGAACCGTGCATTAGTTCTAGAGAAGCTCGAGGTCGAAGTTGCACATCAACGAAGTATAGAAAAACTATTGAGTTTACCAAAGAATTCAAAGTAATGGCAAAGTCATGATTTTTTTAGTAGTTCAGGGACACATTAGTGAGTCAGTATAATAGTCTCTATATAGTTGTATTTCATATCTGATGCTCTTCTCATGTTAGAGCCCCTTTCAAGTCAACAAGGTTCCATTGCTCCCCATTACACTGTAGATATATGGCAAACCTTCTCAGACTTGTCAAGTCCCGTGAAAAAGATACTTACTAGATTAGCTCCATTTTAGATTTTTTTTCTTCTAAAAATTTATTCTCATCTAAGGGTAAGAGGTCCATTCTGATGTTGTTGTCTATCTCTTCTTCATGACATTTTATATATTTATTATTTAGGCTACATTCTTGTATCTTATAAAAGTTTTAGTAGAATGTTTGATTATTTGACTAACCACTCCATTACCTTTATTTTCCGAAAAAGATTCTTGCGTCGTTCAAATCTTTTAATTGTCTCGAGGATAAATATTGTACTACTTGTATTATATTTTTGGTGAAAAAAGCTTTTGGTACTAATGAATATGCACATTTTTCCTTTAAAGTTTATGTGCATATTATAATATTATGTGAAAAAAATGTAAATAAAAGAAAATAGAAATGATTTTTTTTTTCAAATTAGGTATTTTGTTAAAGCAAAAATATCATATTGAATATTTTATGGAAATATGGATATTATATCAAATATTTTGTGAATATATATATCACGTTGGACATTTTGCATATTAATCATTTTATAAAGCAGAAGTACTATATTAGATAAATTAAACATTTTAATAGATGATTGAACTGATATTAATGATTTAAATTCTAAATATTAATGATTAAATCATATATTAGATGATTAAACTGATATTGAATTTGTTTAAGAAGAATTGATGGCTAACTTTTGTATTGTTTTTTGTTTTGTTTTCTTCTCTTTTATCCTTTCTTTATAGAATGAAATGTACAAATACTATAAAAAAATGAAGCGTAGTTTACCAAGAAACTTTGACAATGCTTTTAACCCCATTCATTGGATGCAGCAATGCAATGTGTAATTAATTAAATAAAGCTGCTGGCCAAGCTCTTTTACAATTGATTGCCAAACAAACAAATTAATATAAACTCATTTTGTTGAAAACATTTTTGTGTTTCGATATAACAAATTAAGATTAAATGAATTTTAAGATTTTACAAATGATTTTCTAAGTATATTCGATTTAATTAATCGAATATCAAATTATTACTCAAAGTCTTTCAAGTTCAAATTCAAACCTTACTAAATGTGTAAAATTGTGTTTTATACTTAAACTATTTTTGAAACAATTTTCACAAAGTATTTTGAACCAAAATCAAGCCTAAAATCAATTTTCAAAGTGATGCACCGATGCACCAATCCATGCATCGATGCACCAATTATTTTTTCAAACATCGAATGCATTTTATGCATCGATGCACATACCATGCATCGATGCACTCAGTGCATTTGATGCATCGATGCATAAGACCATGCATCGATGCACTCAGGCTTTTTCAAAACATCGAATGCATTTTATACATCGATGCACTCTTAGTGCACCGATGCACTTAGAGTCCAACGGTCAAAATATTTGAATTTTACACTAATGCACCGATGCACCTAGGGTATGCATCGATGCACTGACGCTCCCAACTGCTTTAATTAATTATTTTCACACTTAAACGACTCTATTGACTCCACTAATCATCCCCAATGTTCAGAATCATTTGAAGGTGTATTTAAACAAGCTTAGAAGCCATTGATCAACACCAAGAAACAACAAGCAACTAGAATCAAGAGAGAATCAAAGAGAAAGCATCGAACCTCAAGTTTGAGCATTTCAAGCCTATTTTTCATTCAATATTCATTTTGCTTTCAAGAACACTACTTGTACTCAATTGTATTCATTTTTTAGTGTTCTTTTCTTTGTTCTAGAATTGTGCAAACAATCTACCTTGTGAGGATTTCCTTGTAAGTTTGCAAATTTGTAATCTTCTCTTTGAAAAAGAGTGTTTTCAAGAATTGGGGTATATTCTTGAGGGTGTTGTAAGGTTATCTCTCTGGCCTCAAAAGAAAGAACAAATTAGTGAATTTGTTGGAAAATCCTTAGTGTGGATAGCTAAGGTAGTGGACGTAGACTTTGGTTGAGAAAGTCAAACCACTCTAAATCGTTGTGCAAATCTTTTCAATTTTCTGTAAAAGCTTCCACCATATTTTTTAATTACCAATTCACCCCCTCTTGGCCAATTCCGTCGATCGATTAACTCAACAATTGGTATCATAGCCTAACTCATTTGAAGGTTTAATCACCTCTTGAGTCGATTCGGGAAGAGTTACATCGATAATCAAAGTCATCAATGGCCTCCACTTCAAACGTCGACTCCGGTCTCGATTCGATGCCCGTCAACAAGCCTCCTTTCTTCAATGGGGCTAACTATGCCTATTGGAAAAATAGGATGATATATTTCATTCAAGCTAGTGAATGGGAGAATGGAATGTTGTAGAAGACGGATATATCAAGCCTCTCACTCATCCAAGATTGTGGAGTGAAGGAGAGACAAGAATGTTCCAGCTCAACTCCAAAGCTATCCATATCATATTTTGTGCTCTTGGACCAGATGAATATGGAAGAGTTTCATCTTG